GACAGTCATCGTTAGCTACAGTACAACATGTCTTTCCACGACCAATGTGCATAGCCATAGAAATCAAGGCAGAAACGTTTCTCTATAGTTAAACCTCGATTCAAAGAAGATATTACATGACAGGCGAGAATGGATCGGAAGAAGCAAGAAGCAAGAAGCAAGCGATCGGGTCCGGTGTGTGCTAGCCTATTGTGCAGTAAAGCATGCAGTAAGACTGAACCTGGGTTCGCAGATGCTTTAGCGAGGCGAGCTAGAAGGATGACGGCGGTGACGAGGCAGTCGTCAACGGCCTGCATGGTCGAAGCATGATGATGGAGCGAGGGTTTCTTTGCATGCCGATGAGACGCGCAAGTGTAATTTGATCGATTCCAGATTAGTTGTTAAACGCGCTGTCCACGATGTTAGTGCAGCTCCGAGCCATCTCCTACGTTAGCAATTCGATCCAAATCAAAGTAATACAACGCGACAGCTTCTCAATGGGTATTTGACTTGTTCATTATTACCACGAAGCCCTCTCAAAGAGGCATTCGCACCACAGTGCCTCCCCAGCAGGGTCAGCCCGTGTTATCCTATACGCGAATATTCAAACACATTATACACAAGCTCTTTGCCCGGTCCACATAACAGCTCTTATGACTTTCGTATCGGGGGTCATGTCTTGTCCGCCTTGAAATCGTACTGCTCGGCTTCGCTCCAACTTCGAATCAAAGGGGGTATCTTATGCCATGCCTTTGCCAGCTTGCCTCTGTGGTGGGTGTTAGGAGGCTGTATGGGGGAAAAAGTTGGGTGGCTGGGGAGGTTGGGAGAACGTACCTTCTTGTTGATGAACATGGCAATGACGAGGATGGCGACGAGGAAAACAATGACGAAGACGACAATGACACCGGGCTCACGTTGGGCCCAGTTCTTGTCGCGCTTGGCGAGCTGGTGGAGAGCGTACTCGGCGCGAGCGGCGATGGGCATGCTGATGGCGGCCATTGTGTTTGTTTGTGGGTTTCTGGGGTGGAGATGTTAGAAAGGTTGTTCGTACGAGCAGCTGTGAAGACCTGGAAGGATTCCCGGAGCTGGAGAAGCACAGGCCAGGCGCATTGGGCGCGTGCGATTTACTCCCAAGAGAGGTCTCGAGCGTAACGATCTTCGGCCAAGGCTTGTCGCGAGACTGGTCCCGATGGCGGTGATGCGATGCGATGCGACACGACGCGACGGGATGCGACAACGTGACGCGATCTCTCCCCGGCAGCTCCAGAGCAAGGCGGCATTGAGCTTACATTTACGAATTGAATCGGTCCACTGTTTGAATATCGAGCTGAAGGGAGCTTTGTTTTGGCTGTTGATGGCAACGGAAGCTGGTCAGCGCGATCGGATCAAACCCACGGAAACGGTCGCTAGGCAGAGGGACTCGGCGATGTTTAATTGAAAGGCGCAGGTCGACAGCGATGCAGCATCAAAGAGTGAGAACGAAAAAGCTCTTAATAGCAAGAGGGTGAATGTCCGCTTTTAAATGCGCCGGCTCGCCGAAAATTTCTGCACAGTTGATGAGGCATTTTGTTTGGCCCCGGGTCCTAGCGGGTTGTCCGGGAGGCTCCAAGCTTGCAAGGGTGGGTGCAGCGTCGCTTCGGCCGGGGAATGGGCGCGGGCCTGGAGGGAGGGAGTAGGGAGCGGTACTTACGTCTGAGGCTCGTCCGAGTGGGTAATGGATAGTGGGCGCTGGGGGATGTTGGAGACTCGGGGCGAGGAGCAGCGTGAAGAGTAGATGAAGGTTGGGTCGGGCCTAGCAACCACCCGCGAGGGTTGAGGGAGCTAGGAGGGAGCTACCCAGTGCAGCCAATGGCGCGACATGCCATCATTTCGTCGTAGATGAGCCGACGATCGCAGCCTCACGTCGGAGATACTCACGTTCTGATGTGTAGTCACTATCTGCTAGTTGCCTGTCACGAGAAGAGCCGCTTTAGAGCTTCACCGGTCGTTGATATCTAGCCATCCACCGTAGCACTCGCAGCACCCCCCATGAACCTCTCGCTCGCGCCTCCACACAGTTGCCCAGGTGCGTCTGGCGCTGCAAGCCGCTGACGCTACTCGTCGGCTCCACTCAGCCAGCACCCCTGCCACCTCTAAACCGTTCTTGTGCGGCAGAAGCAGCAACGATGTCATCGCCCATTGCTTATCGTCCATGACTGATGAAGGCGGCGCGAACCCACCTGCACCCTCGGATATCTCGCCAGGGCCGTTTGACACCAGCCGAACCGTGGGCAGCATCAACCGGGCAACAGCAGGCCTAGCGCACCGGAGCCAAAAACAACGCACGTCAATAATGCCTCATTTCCAGACGCTGGCTTCGCGTCGACAGGGCGACGCGCTACGCCGATAGCGCCCAGGCAGACTGGAGACGCGTGGGGTGGCCTTGGTAGCTCAGTGCCGGGATCCTCACTAAGCTTCTGCTGTGCCTGTGCCCCCGCATCTTGGCGAAGCATGGCACACGAGCCCTACACGGCCTTTGAAACGCTGCAGAGCATCACCGTGTCACAGGCACCATCAGCAGAAGCAAGTGTCGCGAGCTGCACGCGCGCCTTGGAACGTCTGAGTTGTGTTGCCGCGTCCGCTATCGCGACGCTGCCCGTACTGCCAATATTGCTGCTATCCAGGATCGTGGAATAGCGTCGCCACATGACTCGGCGCCCATGTGACCGCCGTCGCTGTTGGCATAAATCCTTATTCAGCCCATCATAACCACCGCAATGTGCAGCCAGCCATCGAGATATGCCGTCGCGCGCACCAGCTCCTCCACACTCGCGCTCAGCGGCAGCACCGCTCCGTGCAACACGGCCTGCGCCAGCAGCGGACTGCGTCTGCTCGGAAATAGTGTCGGCAATATCGCGTTCAGTGCTGTCCCGATGGTCTGTGGTTGCCCTGTCTGCCGTCAGCGCCTTCCACACCTACACCGCAATTACACGTACTAGACGACAGGTTCGGCGTCACCAGCCTCTGCACTACTCTCAAACTCCCGGGTGCCGTCTCTTCTTGCACCCCTTCCGACGACGCGTGTGGGAGATAGAGCCGCACTGGTAGGTGTCTCAGGTTGACTCCTTGCGGGTTCAGCAGCTTCTGGTTGATGGGGTTGTACACCGCAAAGTCGTGGTTCTTCACTCCGCTCCAGAGCTGCGTGCTGTCTTCTTTGCTTAGAAACATGACCGTCTTTCCTGTTCCTGTCCTGAGGTAGTCGGCCTCCTTCACGCTGTGGATGAATAGGTCATGCATATGCTTATCGTCATTGTCGAGCTGAACCAGCTGTTCTGAAGGGAAGTCGGAGAAGTGTACTGTGAGTCGCCATGGTAAATGTTGACGCTCTTCCTCTGTACTCTCGATCTTGTGGCCTTGCTCAGCCTCTGTATCTGTGTCTGAGGGATACGCCGGCTCAGCGCCAGAGTAGAGGTCGTAGAGGAGACCCAGTGGATAATGCCATTTCAGCGGCACGTCTTCGTAGGATAGCCATGCGTCTTTCGGCGTGACATCCGGGTAGATGAGGCTGCGTGCGAAGAAGGCATGCAGTTTGTGTATGAGCAGCCCGAGATACGATATCCGTGGAAATTGTATCTACCTCTCGTCAGCCATAGCACATCTGATGTATCATCACCAGACTATGTCGACACTGCACGTACTAAGTAAGGATCCGACTCGTCGTACGTCCGACAGTCGCCCTTGTGCAGGCGTATCTCGAGTGGAATGCTCCCATTCCAAGTGCTCTGGCGCAGTCTACTCGCAACGTCTCTCTCAGCCATGGGCGCGAAGCATCCGAGATGGCAGATTCGCCAGCCGCCGTTCTGGTAGCCTAGGCGCAGCTGAGCTGATGGATAGTGGGGTAGGTCGCTGCGCAGGCAAGGCGGAAGGCGCGTTGATGGCGGGGTATGCAGGGGGAGCTTGGGCCTGACGTGCAGGAAACCCTGGGTCTTTTCGCTCGTGCGTGCGTCTCTGCGACAACCCCAGACCCGACTGTCGTAGGAAGATGGGCGCTGGTCGTGTCTTCTTCTCCACCCACAACGCATGTATGACGTGACGCCGTAGATGGGTGACTTACTTACGCACGACAGCTGGACCATGGATGTGGCTCTTAGCCGCAAACGCTCGCGCCTGACTGTTGACGAGGACGAGGACGAGGTCCAGCGGAGGAGGGAGCCCTCGCCTGCTCTGCCGCCATTGGGCGATGCGCTGAAGAGGTCGAAGACGCAGTGCGAATTGGAAGAGCTAGATGTTATAAGTCCGGAGGAGGCATGGAGCGTGGATGTGGATGCGATACTGGGTAGCAGTACGCTCGCGACTTCTGTAGGCAGTATGCTGGAAGCGCATAATAATTGGGCAAGGTATAAGAGGCAGGCGTCAATAGTTGTTTTATGTGTGCAAGGGAATGTTCAGGTCCATTACGACCTGCTTTGGTAAGATCATCCTGAACCATTTCAAACCACTACTAACAACCTGAAGCTCCGCTCTACCAGATCTCTACGCGCTCTCGCCCTCCCTTCAGCCCTTCGTCCTCTGTCACGACCCATCAACACATAGACTCCCCTCCTCCGCGCCCTTCTCGCTACCCCTGATACAAGCCGCGACTCCCTCGAACAATCACTTCGTCCGCCTAGGCCTTCTACATCCCCTCGGCGGAGGCAAGTTCCCGTTAGATGCGCTCGTTGTGCTGGATAAGAAGGGTAGGAGGAGATTGGTGCTGCCGTTTGGCTGGGGTGCTGGTAAACATGCGGATACGCCTGCGGGACGGAGCATACAGCTACGGTTGATGGCGTTGCTGAGGACTTGTGTTGCGATGCTAGAACACGAATAAATAACGATATTATGAGTATGCTGATTGCATACGCCTACCGTGAGAGGACTCTAGGGATCATGATGGAGCAGCGTGATGAGTTTCAAGATGTTTCATTGGATGTGTAGAACTACATGAACGCCTTACTCCTGCTATTCTCCTGAGTATCATCGCGATACATACTACCTGTGAAGGCCTACGCCTCGAAGGTCTCCGCGTCATCGAACCCCTTGATTTCCTCTATGACAGATCTAACTTTGCTATGTATGATGTTGAGGTAACTCGGCAGATATCCCTCGGTAGTAACCATCAGAGTTCCATATACAGGATTCCCATCGAAGTCTTCTCGATGCGCAACAATATGAGTAGCGAAGGCGCACATGACCTTCTGATACTGTGGCACCGACAGTGCCTTGTTGCAGAAATCCAGGGTGAAGATCTTGTGATGCTCGACCAAGTTCTTGAGCTGTTGCACTGTGAGTCCTTCTCTGGCAAGGGCTGCTCTCATGAACTTGAAAGCAAAGCTTTGGAGGACGTCCATGCCCATCTCAGTCGCACAGAGATAGACTTGCAAGTGGAATTCGAGTGTAATTGGACCGTCAAGATTGTCTTGCGGGGCGTCTTTTATCGGTTCGGTGACAGAACTGGCAATGATCATGACAACCGTGGGACTGTAGTTCTTGGTCGGGAGCTCCGCGAGATTGGTTTCGTACTACATTTCAGTTAGTCAAATGGCCTGTGAAGATTTTGCCAACAACTCACATTGTTCTGAAGCCAGGAAGACACTGCGATCGCCATTTCCGTGGGTACCGTGAAGGTGGTCACACCGTCAGAGCAAGGGAGAGGCAACATGTGCTTCACTGCACTGAGTCGCTGGTTGCGGAGCCTGTGGAAGGGTAGGCAACAGACATCATAGGTGGCCAGGAAGTACGATCTCACTTCTTGTGTAGCTCACAGCTGTGTATGTCCATCTCGGCGACGGACAGATCACCGAACGCATAATGCAGATATTCCACATCGACGTCAATGTGTCCTGTACCAAGCCCTTCGTCTCGGGCGGTCATGGACTGCGAGTTCTGTGTTCCAGACATCCTGTTCGGTAGAGCGCCTACTTCCTGTGGCTGTGAAGGTTCGTCGGTAAGAATTGTCGGGAAAGGAAGCAAGTACTCACGTTAGATATCACCGTGTGGTGGTTGCCTGGCTAGCGCCAAAACGCCGTTTGCTTGAAGGTCATAGACTGCGATGACGTAGCCGATATGTCTCGCGAAGATATTAGTTGAGGAGTTTCATTTCATGTATACCTTTGCTTGTTATCCAAAGTACCGCCCATAGACGCCTACGCCAGGAGTAACTCAGCTAGCAGCACAGTCACAAAACAAGAGGTATAACGAGCGTTGACTGATACATCCTCGTTGTATTCATCTTTCACCTAAGCACGTATGAACTACAAAAGACTCCATAGACGCGTGAGCTGAGACTCCATCGCCTAGAAACGTCGTTGTCGCTGCCAAGCCCCCTATGCCTCCATGCGATCCTCGGCCTTGACGCCATCGTCTCCATCCCCAGACACGTCAGTCATGCTGGTATCTTCCTTCTTCTTCTGACCACCAGTCTCATCTGATGTGCTACGGGTAGCGACAGTGGGTGCGAGGACGGGAACCTGGGGAACCTGGTTGATGGTGTTGCCCTCGTCGAAGCTGAACTCGATACGTGGGACCTCTAGCTCCATGGGGTCGCCCTTGCCGTCGTCAGATGAACTGATGAGGGGGATGAAGGTAGAGTCGTCGACGTTGTCACCCACGGGGATGTTGTTCGACGACGACGGATCGAGTTGCTGACGAGTAGCAGTGAAGCCCGTGATGGTAGTGTCATCATCATCCTCGCCAATAACGTTCTCACTAGCATCTTGACGGTGGACTTTGGTCTGGTCCGTAGTCGGCTGATCACCTCCTTGGTTGCGCGCAGTTCGCGGAGCAACGGGACTAGGACCTTGTGGACTATGAGAGGCGAACGGGGGATTGAAGTCATCGTAGAGACTCGGTCCATCGACATCTTCAGAGCCATCGGTCTCACCGCGGACTGTCTGGCTCCGTCGTAGGCTCGAGCCTGGACGAGGGGTACGTAGGAGACCTGATGCCGGCTTCATGGGGGTCGAGGCTGCCTTCTCACCTTGAGACGCCTTGGATCCGCCCATGGACTGCCAAGACCTGTCCAGCTCAGATGGTGTGGGTGTAGGCGGCAGGGCTTTGTTGGTACGAGTGGCCGAGCTTCCATGGTCACGACGACGGGGGGTAGGCGAATCGCTGTGGTCCTCCACATATGGTTGGTAGGTATTGCTCGAGCCAGGACGCTGGAGAAGAGGACTGCTGATATGTCCACGCTGAACTGGTCCCGAACCGACGGTACGCGACTTGGGCGAGCGCGTGTCAGGAGTAGAATCAGTCAACAGTCGCTTCTTGCTCGCTTGGTGTCGGCTTGTGGGGTCGGGGGCGATCATGCGCTCTGGGATATCATGTTCGAGCTTGTATCCTTCCAAGTCTCGCTCGGCCCTTGCCTCGTATACCGCATATCGTGGTGTCGCGAGAAGGTCAAGGTACTTGGTATCGTCTTCTTGCAGCCACACAGAACGACGCATTGCTCCATAAGTCGCGATCGCTTGTAGGATCTCTTCTTTGGTGTTCTCCGACGGGTCGTACAGCTTATGCTTCTCCACCATGTTCACCAACCCCTCGGCGGTAGGACGGTCCTTGAGGAGAGCGGTCCAAAACTTTCTAGCAGCCGGGGCTTGAAGCTGCGATATCTCCATCCTCTTCGCGCAAAGATAGACCTTGAGGTGAAGTTCTGTTGATGTCTCGTCTACCCGTACGGTGATACTGTCATCTTCGGTACCGGGCTGAGCTTTCTTGAGGTGCGTCAACTTGTGGTTTGCTAGCTCTTGGGTGTCGTCTAGATGGTAGTCGGCGTCGAGGATGTATTGTACTATCATCTCAACCACGATGTACTCGTAGCCATCCATAGTGACAACGGAGTCGGTGTTCTGTGGATCTTCGACCTGTTGAAGGATTAGTCCAGACTTCTAAGGCGGTGCGAGTCCATTGTGCATAAAGTCGTGGTAGTGAGCGATTTGCAGGGTTGGAACTAACCTGTGTTCTGAACTTCCTTGACAAGACTCCGGCGGACTCCCTTGGTAGAGTACAAGCAGCGCTCTCCTCACCCAGCTTAGCAACAAGTGTTACGGTACTGAGTGGGTTTGCTACGAATTCGCGACGATACCTGCTTTTGTCAGTAATATACTCGTGCAGTCGACATGCGCTTTACAGTACAAGTTGTAACACTCAAAAGGCATCGGGGAGGCCTTCGAAGCCGGCAGGTGTCCAAACTCAATAGCCAGCATCTCCATGTGAGCACCGCGGACGCGGTTTGTCGACACCAGTGACTGAGCCTCGTCGCGTTTAGGCTCCGCGGTGTACGCACTGTCGCTCTGCTTGAGTTCTTGGCTAGCCATGTCGTCTCTTGAGCCTGCCGAAGATGTCCGTAGAGGCTGCGTCGTAGTACGTAGGGTTTAGACGCGTAGCAGGACTGAGTAAAAAGACAACCAGCACCTCTACTAGCGCTAGTGTCGGTGCGGTCACCTGCGTAGGCTCCAGCAAGCGGGAGTGGGGTGTGGTGGAGTCATAAGTGGTTTGCGCCTTTCACTTTCTGTGTGTTTGCAGTGCGTGAGCACTCATGTCTACAGCTGATGTCTGCTGAACATGTACAAATACCTATCAATTGTCGAAAACTTTGACTCCTTTCTCTGAATTACTTTCCACCTGAAGATAAGCCCCTGGATGGTAGAAGTACGCAAGTCGCTGACTGCGATGTATGACTTAAGTCTGCCAAACTGAGTCAATGTAAGTATTTTTTGCGCACACTCAAGGTCAAGGGTTCGGTTCTGTGCTTGACTATATCTTTTTGCTTTTAACGTGCTTTGTGGCGAAAGTGAAAGGACAAACGTGGTGACTTTGCGGCCTACTAAAGTGGGGCTTGTCCGGATGTTGCTAACGCTGCTTTGATACCGTCCTGCTAGCGCTTCCACATCAACGTCTCTATGCTTTCGCTCAAGGATAGAGCTCAATCGTTACTATGGCGAATCGATCTCCGCAGCCAGGGCCTAAAGGCGAGACCTCGAAACCGGATCCTGCGAAAGCACTAGTCAATGAGGCATCGCTACCCATCACGTCTTCAAGCCTGAGTGTACAGCCAGAGCATGAGGGCCACGCGGCTGCCAAACCCGAAACAAGCATGGACCAGAAGATTTCGGATACGGAGCTGCGTTCTCAGGAAGCGCAACCGCGCACGACGGACCCGACAGATCCAGTCAGAGATCTAGCTCGCGTTGCGAATTCCAACTCAGACAAACGCGACGGGGAGGAGGCTCTGGGAGCAGGTGGGATATTCGACACCATTCAGAAAGTGCCGAGGCTGACTTGATAGACGGCGGCTCTCACACCCGGACAGACGCTGTTCAAATAAAGTTAGTGACTTTGGAGGCCCTCCTGGGCCACGTCTTCGAGGGCAAAAGCGCCAGACTACCACAAGCGCAACTAATCTGTGCTCAGTAAGGTCTGATCACGTCTTGGTCGTATATGCGCTGATAAATTGTAGTCATAATCAAATGCTCCTTGCTAAGCGACTTGGTTGCGACTTCGCATTCGTTGTAGATGGTGTGTCGTTCGATGTCCATTCGGGCTTCTTGGCTACTGGCTCGGAGGTATTAGAGGAGTATGCTTTTCCTGCCGATGTAAGTTCAGGACTGGCTCAAATGAACGGAACGAGTACTCACGGTAATTAGGGTACACAAAGTCGCCCTACCTGGAAGTACGAGTTCGACGCACGAGTACACAGTCCTATGATGGTCGACCGCCTCCTGGAGTTTATGTATACCGGGACCTATCAACTCGACAAGGGCGGACGAGCGACGCTTTTACATCATCCGACTAGCCTACCCATCGGTAAGACTAAGGCCAGCTATCCCATGGAATTGGAGGGACCGGTAGCCTTCCATATGAAGATGTACAAAATGGGCAAGTCCTTACGGTATCAATCCTTGGTAGCAGTCGCGCATACAAAGATGGCAGAGCATATGCTCTTGAAGATGCAGATCGACGTGGGAATGGCTAAGATCCTCGTTAACTGGATATATGGCTCAACTGAGATGGCACAAGATATAGCTGAGCAGCCAAATGATACTTTCGGGGATGACAACCTGAAAGAACTGGTCGTAGCGTGTATCCTGCGACACGTCCATCAGAAGATCTGGGAAGAGGAGGAAGTGGAAGGGCTCAAACACCATGCTCGAGCATATCCTGCTTTGGAAGTGGATTGGGAGCTTGCCGAAGATGAGTACAAAGACGTGCTGAAGACGCGACCCGAAACTAAGAGGGCGGCGAAGAGGACGAGACGAGGACAGCAACATCAGCAGGAGGTTGCGAAGTTGCTCCAGCTCTCAGAAGGGCCTCACCATGTGTAGACATGATTGTGGCATCGGAAGCTGCGAACTCCCGCATCTTGTCCTACAGTTCCGATACTTCCGGCTGAGGAAGCCACGAGGTGACGATGCGTAGAGAGTGGGGTGGCGGTAGCCGGAAGACAGGTTGCAGGGCTATTGCAGGGCGTTGGAGCGTGTATTCGATCTATTCCGTAGCATAGCCGTAAAAGAGTTCCTCAATAGCCATGTTGCTGATGTGAAGCGTGTGAAGCGTGGTCGCAGGAAGTGTGAAGGCACGTCTCCGTGAGGGTGGCTGGCGACTAGCGTGCTTCCCCACCCTGTCGCGATGACATTGGTTGGCGCGCCGTTAAACGTTCGATCACCTCTTCTTCAAACATACGGATCTCGACACTCCATCAGCTGAAATGCGGATTGACAACGATGGCTTCCTTCTGTGAACTGAAGTTCCAGAAATTACGCGTGCAGATGCCATTCGTTCCGCAGCAACAAGCCTGAGCAGCCTTCTCATTGCACGAAGACGCGTCTATTGCTCGTGTGTTCGCGATTTCGTCTCGCGATGATCCGATCGCGGATACTTTGGGCCCAGCCTGGGGTCAGCTACTTGTTTGATAGCGCCGATTTGCTGGCGCGTCTGGCGTGATATCAAATGTCCACGGTTGGGTTGGTTCGATTTCTTCGGTTTGGTTCTGGCGTGATACCTAGGCAGCGTATCCAGGGCCCGTGCATCTTGTCTACACAGGGTCTCATCTCCTTGCACATCCTCTATCACCTTTCGCCACTACACACAAACTCCCCTTATGCCACCCATTCGCACAGAGAAGAAGAAAGGTTCAGCGAAGGCTACTCCTTCCGGTGGTCTTGCAGCCTTTGGCTTTAGACCAGCCCCGAAAGAGGAGGTCGTAGCCGCAGCGGCCCGGGCAAAACCTCCAGTTGTATCACGATCCGCTGCAGACCTAGTAGCGCAAGAAGCGCCGAAGCCAAAACCTCGTCTTCCCAAGCCTCTCGTTAAAGGAGTAAAACACGCCTCCTTCTATGACTCCAGATGCGACTGGGACGACAAGTACCACAAGATTATTGGGACATCGACACGGAAGATCACTTTTGGAGGGGCCTTTGAGCTGACAGAGTAAGCCTCATACTTTACTTCCTCTCCACTGGGCATACCGTGCAATACTAAACTGCGTTTCCTAGCAAACATATCGACGACATCCTCTTCTTGGGTCCTAAAGTATGCGACACACTAACGGAAATCCATCTCACATACGTGAATGTTGACTACGGCGCTCACAACGGTACGAATATATGACGATGCAATTATTTGTATACGTATTTCTGACTATGACGCTAGAATGTCTTGTGACGGACGAGAGTATCAAGCTTCTTGCTAAGGCTTGCAGAAACCTAAAGAAGATCTCTCTACCCGGGTCTAGGAGTTCTGAACTTGGTGATCAAGGCTTGATCCATCTCATTTCGTTCTGTCAGAACCTTACCCATCTGGAGTTTTCCGGTTCTGGCGTTACAGAAGTCACTTTCGAGCAATGGATTGCTCACCCGGATTGGGCGCCGAACCTGAAGAAACTACGCCTCAACGACCTTTCTTACAATAGAAGACCCATGCGTGCGTTGCGAGAGTTTGGAAGGACGCGGCCGACACTACCTATCGAGCTGGTTACCCGTTCAGAATTCAAGAAGTGGGATACGTGGTATCTGCAGACCAGTCACGATACGTACAAGAACGGGAGAAAGGTGTCTTCTAGTCTCCCTACTGTTACTTGAGCTACATTTAGGCGCGCTCGGCCACACATATTTGTTTCAGTTTACCTTGTCTTGCTTTGGGTGAGCAGCTTCTTGTACCTAACAAATTATCTAAGATACACAAATGTTTATAAGTTTACAGGACTAGGAACGGTTTGCTTACCTCGAGGTTGCAGTGGGTTGAGCGAGTTGCATTAATATCGTAGATGATGATTGGCTGTTCTGACAACTCCCGCGGAGAAATCCAAGGGCTCAAATTGCTGCACCCAGTTCTTTCCTCAGAGGTTGTCAGCTCGTCGGTGTGCCACACTAGCTGCCTAGGCGTTCGGAGGACATGCGCTGCACAATAGGCTTACGGCTTGGAACCCAGGTGGCTCGAAGTCTTACACGATGAGCTCCCTACAACAAAGTCTCACTACTTCCAAGAAGAGCAAATCCAATAAAGTCTTACAAAATAGCGCATCACTACATGTGTCAGAGAATTGGGAGGTTGGTGAGTCTCACCGAGTGTCAGCCGTAGGAACAAGACGGCGCGATGCGGAGCGCGCTAGAGACGCGTCGACACGAACACAATATAAAAGGTGAGATATCCGAAACCTTCCTTCCTGTGCTCGATATTGTCAGTCTTTACTTTCCTTCTAGCAGTTATGCCGCCAACTCGCACGCAGAATACGAACGTAACTCCAAAACGCAACTTCGCCAAACTAGGCTTCCCCGTCGTCTCACGAGACGAAGCTTTAGCAGCCGCTACGAAGGCAGTGATAGCGACAACTCCAAAGCCGCCCCTTCGCAAGAAAACATCTAAACGATCCTGTCGCGTGAAGACGCAGTCATGCCCAACACGGACTCGCGATTCACCGCCGTCTCCTCCTGCCAGTCTACCAATAGCGTCAACTGTACTTGAAGAAAGCAAAGGCGAGACTTCTGGCTCTGGTTTTGATAGGAAACCCTTTGGAAGAGACTATGATCTCCGTGGATGTCCATGCGGGCGCGATTGTGCCGCCACACGTCTAACTGATGTCCAAACATGGCGGAAACCAAGTCATCTTCCACTCGTGGATCACATAGCTACGGAACCAGAATGTCATAATGAATTCGACGATTGGAACATAAGATGCGATCGGTGTGGGCCGGAACGACAGCTCGATGTAGGCTTGTAAGTCAAAAGGATTCGACCTGTCTTGCTTGGTAAAAATTCCGCTAACACCTTGAAGTATGGACGACGAGGCTCTCATCGCAGTGGAAATGAACGGAAGGATAAAGCATATCTACTCTGGAGGTACGTAAGTCGAAAATTTTACCTGATATTCCACAAGAAGCAGCTGTGCTGATAGCGTACCCAGTAACACCACCATTCTATAACTATACTAAAGAAGAAGAAGAAGAGAAAAGACGTAAGGATGCTGAACGACACACAGAGCAAAGTCTGATTCATCTCATCCACCACTGTCCCGGTTTACAGTCCGCTCACTTAGACCATTGCCGCAGTCTTAGCGTCCTGTTCGCACTGATGTCTTCGTGTCCTTCACTCCTTAGCATAAAGTTATCCGGAAATCTACGAAACCCCTGGCCAGTCGATTTCGAGGCCCTCGCTGAGCATCCAGAATGGGTACCTCATCTGCGGGAACTGAGTTTATCGTGGACTGGGCTGTCGAACTATACTTACGGACGAATAGACGAGGGAATGGGGCCAGCCCTGCGCAAACTTGCGAATGCGAGACCGAATCTCATCTTCAGCATTACTTCGGGTGTGAAAGTAATTTGGGCCAGAGTCCCAAGCTGGATAGAATTGAAGTGGTATAGAAAGCATAGGAATACGATGGGTTCGACGGTGTTCGAATCCAGGCGACACGAAGAGGCTTCGTCCTGGATTTCAAGATATAGCTGAGTTAAAGCAGTCATGTCCTGTTTCGTCCAGAACAAGAGATATAGCAGTCGTATGATTTTCTATTGAGAATACTAGCAGGTCATAAAGCAAGAGCATCGGCCAAATCACTTGGCTCGCAGCCATCCTATCTCCGCCGGTTTCCACACCTACGCATTCTCTCGATGAACCCTCTGCTCCTTCTCCCCCAGCGGCCCCTCCACACCTGGATGAACACTTTTCCTCCTCTTCTCATCTCTCTGCTGCCGACTTTGATCGAGGCTCTGCGCAAACTTCGAATTGGCCCTGATCTGCGGACCTTTCCAGTACACGATGTAGATGGGCAGGGTGACCAGGAAAGCAAGGCAGGCTAGAATAGTGGAAGCGTATTGCAACGGTCGACCAGGGATATTCGAGTAAAGCGGTGTTGAGTATAGAGAAGCGATACCGGCGAGGGCATCACGAGCGAGATCGTTGCCGCCGGTTGCGGAGGAAGCGTAGGGGCCGTATGCGGCGGTTTGGTAGTCGATTGAAGACTGGTAGATTGCATACTGGGAACCGTTAGCCAACGAATATTGCGTGTTCAGCTTGAGAGCTTACATTAGCCATGCCAACCATTGCCGAGAAGATCATCGGCGCGATCCAAGGAATGCCATAATCTGGGCCAAGTGACGTCCAAGCAAACCCCAACAAGCCGATAGTCTCCAGCGGAGCGAGGAACAGCAACCACCAAAGTCGGGCTTCCGGTTCGACAGACCCCGGATTCTGTCGTCGTTTCTTCCGGAAACTGATGATCGACGGCATATATGAAGCATAGGCCAAGAAGTAACTGATCAAGATGGGAAGGAAGGCTAGACCTGCGCCAACGACGCCAAAGCCCCATTGTTCGTAGACGGGACCGAAAGACTCCAAGAATGTGAAGATCAGGGCGTCGCTGAAACCACTGAGGAGTGAGAGCCATAGAACGATTGGTTCGGTGAAGAACATGTAGAATGGTCTATGTCATTGTTAGCATCGAAGTCACCATGGTCTGAAGTTGTTGCGTACCTCCAGAAGATGGTGCCGACCTCTTTAAAGCTCATCTTATGGCCACCTCGGATCTCATTTGGGCCATAGATGTTTGGGTCTTCGCCTGTCTTACGTCGTCTCTTCGCCTCACGGTCTAATAGGATTGTCGAGCGAGTCTCGGGGTTGCAGACAAAGTGAACGAGCTGGACGAAGCCTCCGATGATGAGCTGAACCCAGAAGATCCACTCGACCGACTTGTACCTAGAGATTTAAGTCAATAACTTTCAACAAAACTTGTTAATGATGTACTCACCTTTCTACGAACGCTCCGATGATCGCACCAACGACGGACCCGCCCACGGATGATAGCACTAGGAAAGCGACAGCAAACTCTTGTTCATCCGGCTCCCACATGTCGGCGAGTACACCAAGCGTGACCGAGCCGCCAGCCGTTGATAAGCCTCCAAGCGTCCGGACCACCACATATGTCGCATAGTTCTTCGACAAAGCGGCTGGTATTTGCCAGAGGTTGACAAGGAACAGGCTGAGTTGCTGGATGGGCCATCGTCCATACTCTTCTGACCAGGGAGCCCAAAGTTCGCAGCCGATACCGTAGGCGATCAAGAAAGCAGCCTGGGGGACGCGAGCTGCTTGTTCGCTAACACCATGGTGTTCGGATACTGCGCTGACGGCATGCGAGTACATGGACGCATTCGTGTTGATGCTGATTTGGATGAAGAAGACGACGATGAGGATCTGCCTATCGTGGAATCATTATCAGCGCCGTACATTGAACATCGCAACATGGAGAGAGCGATCGAGAGGAGATTGTGAGCCCATGGTAGGCTTTCGAGATGCGCCGCCACAATGGTCGGGTGTCACGGCAAAGCGGCATCCAGACAAGAGACACAAGCTCAACTCACCATTTGCGCCAAGTTGGGAACGAGTAACCAAGCTTGTCCCAAGCATCACTGTCTTGTAGTTCGACCTTATCGCCTGTGATGATTCGGTCCGTCTTCTCTTGCTCAAGTTCTGTGCCTTCGCCATAGTTGGGGTCGCGCTCGGTGTCAGGCACAGCTGTCGGCTTGCCATCGTCTACGGTAGTCATATTGGAGTCCGCACGCACGTAGGAGGATGATCGAGAGAAAGGGGTGTTAAAGGTGGAAAACGAAGAGATGTACGAGATATACTTCACACCATCTCGTACGCAGTGCATACGCCTCTTCGCCTTTCGCTCACCCTCTACGCGACATCAGGCTGCCCGTTACTCCGTGCCTCTGATGTCAAGAGGCGGCTGGTTACATCTTCGGTAAGCTTACTCCGCCAATGTGAGGCTTGTCATTCTGAGCCAAGGCATACACAGCCGTGGCAGCCAAGAGTAATCAACTGATCGCGGGGTAAATAAGGGTGCATCGACCGATGATGGGGAATGCGATGTGCGTGATGTTTCCCATGTTTGGTCGATGCGGGTGTTGGGCCAAGAGAAGGAATGAGGCATGGCGTCATAGGCGTTCTATACGCTGCGGTTACGCGGCGTCGACCAGGAAGTCGGATCCTGCTCATACAGTCGATACATGCAGAGTGCCTGGCGCGGAGTTTGACGCCGGGTATTGTGATGTCATGCACCCAAGCAGTTGTTCAGGAGATGGGTGTGAAAGGACGTCGACACGTGGTGGACGGGCCCATGGGTGGACGGCAGGCGCGCTAGGCGGGGGCACACGCGACCTGACAACGCGACGTAACAGTTTGAACCCGCGGCATAGACTGGGTGAACCCCAACATGTACCTGATGGGGATTGAATTAATATTAGAAGCTCTTGCGCGACCGACAATCGTCCACCAGCTGTGCCATATTTACCGTTGCCATCTCTTACTACCTCCCCTGCGGGCTCAGTAGCAGCGCCGTTATCGCATCAACACACGCATAGAACCTCTGTCCAACCTCTGGCTGGGCGAGGTATGCCGAAGTCTTCTCCTTAATCAGATCTTCGTGACTCCACTCCTCCAGTGGCACATCCTCCAACCCCGTCACATCAAACCGAAAGTACTTCATCCAATTGCGCTCCATCAACGCAGCATGTTCGGCCTCGAATCTATCACCCCACGATCTTGCTTCAGCCTTCCTATCCTCAACGCTATTCGCCATCTCGGGAATCTCGTTTTTGCGATTCAGGCCGACGCCCGTACCGACTGAGACAATGATCATCATGTCGTTCGCATATCGGAACAGCTTCCTGCATTCATACAGGATGTCGCGGACTGGATTGTTCTTTGTAGTCCCATGGTCGACGAGACCCTTTTCAATCACGAAGCGTTGCGGAACGCCTGGCTCGGATTGCACATATCGTGGGGCTGCTGAGGTCGCCTTCATCGCTTGCCATATGGGCATGTTGGGTTCCAAATCCGGTCCAGTTATGCGCCGTGTTTGGTAAGATCGGATAAGGGCAGCTTTGTTCGTGCCTTCACTTCGTTAGTGAATCTCACCACGCTTCTCACTTCAGTACGTACCGATATCCATTTGTGTCGTAATTGCGAAACTTTATCGAGTCAGTATGTACGTCGCGGATGAATAGGGTTTACTCACACGTCGCCCGAGTCGGGCCGTCCATCTAGGAGTACTTCGTCCGGGCTGCCTAGCTCCTGCTGAATCACGCTCTTGATTTCGTTCTCTAACGCGCTGTCGTCAGGCTTCTGTATCTGTGCATGAGGGTCGAGATATCTGAAGTAGGCCCTTTTATTGTCGAACACTTGCTTCGCGATCTGTTTGTAAGCTTCTCTTGCTCTGTGGGCTTGCATGCGCAGTCGACATAGCATGATGGCTATTATACCGCCAAGAGAACTACCACCTGTCAAGTCAAAAATCTGGTGGCTGTCTAAGCGCTGCCCAACTTTGACGCAGATCGCGTTGACCAGCGATTCAACTAAAAGGAGAGCAGATAAGCCCCGGATACCGTCTCCGTCAATGGAAAGCAGAATCTTCGTCTCTCTCGTTCTCGAAAGGATGGCTGGTAGAGGTGCTGCTTGGTTTGGTGTCGGATCATGTAAGGCGGGATCGATGTACTGCGAAGATGGGCGCATATTGTTTTCAGGAGCTGCTTGAACAGTGGGAGTCGATTCTGGCGGTATTTGGGTGGCGCCAGTTGGCGCCGCAGCTTGAAATGCGTACGGGGAAGCATACACGGTTGCTGTCGTTGCTGACGAAGGCGTACTATGATCGCGTGGCGAGCCGGGGAGAGCATTCTCAACCACCGTTGACGGTGAAGGTGTCATGAGACCTGCTACCGTAGTATGGGTGACAATCGGTTGTGATGGAGCATGGCCGTATATGGGAGCTAGTGATGGAGGCCCTGTAGCAGAGGGAGGTGGAGACGGCCATGGAATGTATCCAGAGTAAGGATCCCGGATAAGTCGCAACTCTGCTTCTTCTGCAACGCGTCGGACATCCGGATCTTGAGCTTTGCTTCGTTACGTTAGTCTCACTACGGGTGATATCTGGAGAAGACGCGCGACGTACTACTTCACGTAGCTGACGTCCCAAGGCTCCCAGCGACCGGACAGCAAGAACTGTATCGAGGAAGGAAAGGCGGAGTCATGAAAGTAGTGTGTGCCCTCTACCGCCGAGTAGCGGACACAGCTGAAGTCCACCGGAGTCCACGACATGCTGTTGTATGGTGGTTATAGCGCGTACCAGTGGCCAAACCGGTAGACGGAGAGCTGGAATTGAGGCAGCACTCAGCCTTGTACTGGCAATCTAGTGAGAGCAGCGGTGGATCAGACGGCAGTCCTAGGAAACATGCGGTAAGCCACTAGCTGCCGCTGGGAGCTAGACCGTTAATCAGGATGAAGTCGCTTCTGAGAAGGGCTATTGTATAGCCAATCGCTACGCGACAAACGGCCCGCCTGCAAGGTATGCTCTGCGCCAGCTCGTCAAAATATGCTGCCATGCGTAGCGCTTCAGCGAGAATGCGGCCGCGTTTGACCGGCCAGGCGAGGCCCTGTACGGGCAACGTGTATGGACGAGGCCGCTCGGCAATTGGGCAGTTTGATGGATCTGTGAGACAAGGGCTTTGTGATACCCGGCCCATCCCTGCGTGTGCGTTCGTCGCGAAAAACTCCCATCGCAGAGGCGATCGGATCGATCGCCAGGCTCAAAGTATACTGATAAGGGAAGATCTCGGGTCAAGGGTGTATGCAACTGCTGAACATCGCGACTGCCTAGGTGAAGACGGGCGATTCGCTAGCGGCTAGTGCATGACCATCGCTGGATTGGTCCACGCCCGCGGCCCGCAGCGTTCCGCTTGCTCGGCTCTCCCCCTCAACAGCTTTTCACTCTTCAGCCACACATAGCCCTTTCGCGACACGAGTGGATTTGGACAGCATCTTGCGGCGTTGAGCTTAAACTTGAACTTTCCCGAAAGAGTTGGTGTGAACGACTGCACGGTGACGGCGTAATCGAGCAAAGAACCTGGTCCCACCTGAGCAACGTTGGGGAAACCACTACAAACACCATTCGTCCAGAATAGACATGGAGTCAGGACAGAATCCACTCGGAACACTTTCGATTCTAGCAGTGGAACTGCGCGAGGCCATCTGGTCATATGCACTCACCGACACCACGATCGTGTACCATGCAATTACCGAAACGGTGCCAATCCCACTACTCGGCTGTTCCAAAGCGATTCGTGAGGAAGCCATATCCACAATACTCCGAGAGCGAAGCGTCACGTTCCAGACGCATGCTGCACTATCGGGCTTGCTCACGAATCACAAGAGCCAGCAAACACCAGACACGGTCAAGGATGCGATAGCCCCACAGAGTCCAGCTAGATTGCCGAAGAAGATCAGGTTGAAACTGTTCTCCGAGAACCAGAAACTGTTCAAATGTACCGAGAGCAATTGGCTGGAGTATACAGAGGAGGAGCCGAAACTTGCAAGAGAACTTGATGGTTGGCGGGAAGCGCTGCTTCAATATCCCATTACACATCTCACAACAATAGTCATGGACTGCAATTCCAGTCCCACATACCATGGCGGACCGGGTTATGCACTTCCGTGCATGAGTACGTTCGTAAAGCGTGTAGCTACGCGCATTCGCATGGTGTCAAAGGGAAGATGCCAAATCTTACTAGTCGCACCGCCAGGCACCGTGAAACAGCTTATCTGGCATGCTGGTTCAGCCTCCTTTCTGAGGAGCTGGACGCCAACCGATGACGGGTGGTCTGCAAGGAAGATTCAAGAAGCGCTCGACAAATCGGTCGTTGCTAATCCGTCATCACCCACACAGAGGAGCAGAAAGCGACGACGGCCCACGGCAGCGATGGAGTAGATTTCTGTCAAGATAGAGTAGACTTTTGTACATATTGTGAAAATCTTCACGTTCCTCCTTATGAATTGTTATTCACATGCGAAGTTACTGGCACCATTGCAGGCTTATGAAGTTTGGTATTGTGCATTACTAGGGGCAAAAAACATCGTCACGAGTTTCCCCCCGAAGTGACCTTTATGGCCAACTTGCAAAGGCCCACCCGAAGCAAAAACAAAAAAAGAATGCATGAGATGCTCTCCAGCGGGGAATTGAACCCCGGTCTCCCGCGAGTTGTCTGTGAAGATGACAAGCGGAAATACTGACCACTATACTACTGAAGATTGAGCAACCGAGATGGTTGAGTAGGTGATTCGATGGGAAGCGTGCGGGCTGCAAATATTATAGACCATATTGCATGCACAGCGTAGCGAGCGCTGCGGCGCCGACTTGCTACGTCAATAGGCAAAAGTTCTGCGTGCTGCATGCCCAGGTGTGGGCGGCTAGCCAGCTCTGGAGGGGCTATTTTAGCTACGGCACATGGCATGCGAATAGACCAATGCAGCTTACATAAGCCGCTGCAATTATCTAGGACCCATTCATACTCTTTTCGAATTGGTATACTTGAATACAAAAGCTTGGCCCAAGACCATGGTACGCACTAGTTGGCACTATGCTCAGATGCAAAGCCCCGCTAGAATCAAACTTGGCTGTATTATGTGTACGGACCAAGTGAGTTGTGTTCTGCCGCGCCCTGCTGTCACTCTCCTTTTTGATTGAGACCTTCCGCCCGAGCTCATCCTAAAAAGGCCATGTACGCATAGCTCACGTTGCATACCCAGATATACTGCCTCACTGAAGATATGTCATGTTTACGTATCTATACAGTAAGTCACAGTTAGTCTCCACAGGCATGGAACTGCGACTGTTTGTTGTGTTGAAAGTACACCCAGAAGGCTTTGTGCATGTAAGCGATCTGCCGTCACGAACATGCAACATGTGGATGAGACCAGGGAAACACCCATAAAACCACACCCATCACTGGGACAACGTGCACACCGGCATTGACACGGCACCTGGATTTGGTTTTCGAAGCATATTCATTTCTCGCCGAGTCGATTCGTCGTGAAGACTCTAGCTTTATTCGTTCATGCAACCCATGCTCATTTTCTTTCATGAGCTCCGAATCCCACAGAAGATGATGAACCGAATGAAGTAAAACTCCGAACCAATTCACATGCACCACGCTCTTCAGTATTTCATGATCTATGCCTCGGTGGCAGCGGCCTGGGCCTTGGCACCCCTGGCCTTGGTGGGCTTGGACTCCTTGACGGGCTTCTGGCTCTTGCGGATGGCGGAGGCCTTAGCGACGGCGTCCTGGCGGAGGTCGGGGCGGTAGTTGCGCTTGGTGGTGGAGTTGACGATGGCGGAGTATGTCCTACGTTGGTCAGCGAGCAGCCCTTTGATATGCGGTATCGGCGCAGTCGAGCGAGAAAAGCCGTGGCTTGGAGAAGACGTACTTGCGGGTGGACCTGCTGGGGCCGAAGGTGGTGGTCTGGATGGCAGATGCGGGCTGGTGGTGCTTGTCGGCCTTCTTGATGAGAAGAGTGACACCACCCTCGGGGCCGGGGATAACACCGATAGCCTATTCCAACGTTGTCAATACCGTATCCTGTGTTGGTTCGCACGTGCGCGCGGCGCATTCGTGGTTCGTGGTAGTCGTACCTTGTTGGCAATGGAGCCCTCGTTCTGAGCAGAATTAGTCAACTGTCCCCAAGAATACAACATCCACACATACCTTGCGGCTGTACACGTTCCTCAGGTTAAGAGGATCGCGCGAGAACTGGATACCGTTCGCCCTCTTGACGAGCGTGGAGCTGCGTCCCTCTGCCATATGTCAACCCCAGTCCCTCCCCAATGCGCGTCCCAGTCTTTCACTCACTGGTAACCTCCCAGGCAAGATCGTGCGAGATAGTGGTGGCCATTGTGTCTGTATGGAATGTGGATACGGACGATGTCGATTGCTTGACGTTGGGAAAGTTCGCCAATATTGAATCGAGGGCCCTCGTCTGCATTACCGCATGCGCTTAGTGCGTGTTTCGGGGATGGATCAACGTGCGTGCCGACGCCAAGAGCGGAGCGGAAGTGACGATGCATGAACGCGACGTGAGGCGGTGCAGCCGAGCGTTCTTGTCCGCGACTCCGTGGTTACAAACCATCGTTGTCTTGCATCAACCTCCCCTAATGCCTTGGCTTCAGAGGCGCTCATCTACACACTACCGCTGAATTTACTTCACATCCGTTTCTTTTGTATTCTTCACCAACTCCTTTGTCGCGCCTAGCAGCTCCCTCCCGCACTCCCGAAGACCTCCGCTCTGTCGCATACGCTTTAGACCTCTCGTGCAGCCTCGGAAGCAACCCTCATCATGGCCTACATCCTCTACTCCGTCTCGCTCTTCGTTCTGGTGATTGCGACAGGTATGTTGCCTTAGTGAACACCTCCTGCGCCACACTAACACTGCGCAGCTGCCTATTTCACCCGGCACCGCTGGATACACCTTCTGCCTATCCCCGGACCCATCTACACGCGCCTCCCATCCTCGTTCCGCGACGACATCGAAGCCGGCCTTTCGTCCTCAGCGTTTGACCTGAGTGGGAACGTGGAAGCCGGCGACTCGCGCCAAGGCTTGGACGACGCGGGGAAGAAGGAGGTTATGCGCATTATGAAGAGACGCGGCTGCGACTTCGACGAGGCACGCAGAATATACATGCAGGAGAGATTCAAGAAGAACAACATTGGAGCAGATGGGATACCCCGCGACCCCAAGTTTGTCAGCTTCTCATAATCGCAACGACTGGGTTCAATGGCGGATTTTATTCACAGGGCGGCTCTTGCGTAATTCTTTCTTTTGTATGGGGTTTGGACACATTACTACATTTCCTTTGTTGCCTTCAGTGGCCTATCTCTGTCTGACATGCTCTTGGCGGGTATCTTTCTGCGAGTACGGATCTGGACGCCAGATATCCTGCGTCTTCTGTTCTTCCGAGTTCTGCGTCTTTCTCTCGCTGACCTTTCAGTGCCTTTTCGAATACACTTTTGATGTTGTCCCTTATTCAACTCGAAGCCTGGTGAACATCATGCCTCCCAATCGTGACCCTATCGTCTCATGCTGCTTCATGTCGATCAAAGGCCATGACTTCCGCAATTTCGGCGGACGGCCATTATACCGACGGGCCTGGTCCCCTGAGTCAGAAGTACCGGTTCTAGCATCTTGGAGACTGCTCAAGTTACAACGCCCATATTCAACGTGATTGTGATTGATCCTTCCGCGTCTCTTCTCTCTACCTAGGTGCCTGAGCGTAGCCGGGAGGCCCTCCGAAACCTGGGGGACCGCCGAAGGCTGGCGGTGGGCCGTTGAAGCCGGGCGGAGGAGGGAAGAAGTTCGTCGGAGCGCCGCTTGGTGGGCGAGCAGGCAAGCCAGATGGGGGTGGTGGAAGACCTGGATGGCCAACCGGAGCTGCGGAAGGAGGTCGGCCATAGCCTCCAGGGCCGTTGGGAGCGTAACCAGGAGGTCCGCCGGGAGGTCCGCCAGGGGGTCCATATCCTGCTCCAGGTCCGCTTGGTGCGCCGGGCATGCCACGTCCATCCATGCCCATGGCTGGTCCACTCGGTGCAGCACCTGGTGGAAGTTGGAAAAGATGTGCGGGCAGAGGTTGCACAGCAGGCGCAACTCCGTGGGCCTTGGCCTGTTTCGCGAGCATACGCTCCGCTTCGTCTCCGTGCCGCTCACCCTTTCCGTCTTTCTTGTATGCGTATTGAACCGTGATCTGCTTGCTCATGATGTACTGGTTGTGCATGCTCGCGATAGCCGCATCTGAGGATTCGAAGTCGCCGTAGGAGATGAAACCGTATCCCTTGGATGCTTGCGTAATATCGTCGCGCGCGACCTTTGGCGCATTCACCAACGGTCCGAAGCGGCCAAATGTGTCGTACAGTGTCTTTTCGTCCACTCCAGGATCAAGGTTACCAATGAACAGTTCTGCGCCAATCTCAACATTCTTCTGCTTATCTGCGGACGCCTTGTTAACACGTATCCGGCTTCCGTATAGCGCGACGTTGTTCATGATCTTGGGCGCGTAATCTGCTTCTGCTTCTGTGTGGAACTCTACGAAACCGAACCCTTGATGTTGGCCGTTGACACGATCGACGGGCATGTTGACATTTCGTACTCGGCCGGCGTTGAGCATCAGCTCGTGAAGGATGCGGGGCGTGATGCGCTCATGGAGGTTTCCGACGTAGACTGTGGCTTCTTTGTTCTGTTCCCTGCGCATTTGTGAGTTCATGTTCGCTACTTGTCCGCTACTCGGAATGCTGCAACTTACCAGTGACGCGCACTCGGGGCCGACATGTTGAAAGACCGGTGTCTATAGTTTCGGAACTCTGGATCCTGGGTCGCAATAGAAATCCGGACGGTTTAGTTGGGGTCGTGAGGCGTCGTGAATGGGAATTGGTGTTCAGGAACGAAGTGAAGGCATCTCGAAGATATTGGAGCTCCAATCCGAGCTTGCGCTAACACGCATGCGGCTAATCCCAAAACTTTGAGCTTTACGCATCATCGCAACTTCGTTCGCTGGGCCCGCCTTCACCCATTACCGCATACAACTCGACCACCTCAACCCCAGGCCGACTACATACCCAATATGTACCAGTTGTCAGAAGAGTCCAAGGTACGTCAATACTCCAAGTACATATGCATCGGGCTTCCGTTGACACCATACAGGAGCGCATCGCGCGCATCATCGATGTCTCCCGCGTCGCTATTCACTACGGCTACCTGCCTTTGATCCTATACCTCGGATACTCCCGAAGCGAGCCTAAGCCTTCTCTCATCCGGTGAGTACACCGCCTATTCCCGCCGCTCCTATACCAGCACGAGGTCGCTCTTCACAATGGGGAAGAACTTCGCCGGCTGTGGAATTTAGCCTGGCGACTTCTGAAGTCTGGAAGCAGACTATGAGAAAGAGACTGTGATCTTGTTCCTACAAGATTACACCAAAGCCATAACGGGCCAGCCTAGCAGTGTCAGTGGAAGACCAAGGCACCTATGGGAATTATGGTCTTTCTGCTCTTCCAGTCGCTTGCTTCTGTCGTGAACCTCCTCCTTAAAATACCGCTTCATCGTGGCTGATGTACATTTGGGAACTTCGCTGACCCCTCTAGTCTTTTCTCTCCCCTCGCATAAGCACCAGACGACGATATGACAACAACGATTTGCGATTCATTGTACAATACTACACACTCTAGGCGCATGGATTCTCGGGTATGATTTGGACCGTGACGGTCGGGAAGATGGGCTATATAAGTACCATGGGTTCGAAAATTCCTCTACTCTATCAGGTCGCACGGAAGTCGGCAAAACGTATCCCACAGGAGGCGGGATTTGTACATGTATACCAAAGTCTTAATACGAATTGACGGTACCCTGCAGGACGGCCGGTGCCATGGCTGCCCGGTCCGAGTGGTAGCCCGCTTTTTGCACCAAACACATTCGTCTTGCGCATGCGTGTCACAATTGCTGGAACTGGCGGAGTCTAAGCTTGCGCGCGCGTCGGTCCTCATTGAGCCCAGCGCCGGTTGGCAGGTATTGACAGCTACGCGGGGCAAATGCCGGTTGTGCGGTTGACGCCAATGGCGAGACGCTACCTGACCCACGTGGTATCCCGGTCGAGCATCGCGACCCATGCTCCTCCATTCTCAACCTCTGCGAACTGGAACACCCGGCCACCGGTCCCCACAGTACACGCGGGCAGTCGTTATGGAGTCTTATATCCCAGGCGCACGGCGCTGGGCCTGCTCTAGTTTGTGCTGCGAATCCTCATCGCATAGCCCCCACGCCTCCCGTGTCCACAGTATATCGAGAGTTCCCCCGGATGTTCTCTGCCTATTCTCTAGACCTTATGGACACTTCGAATTGCTATCAACAACCCCATACGTGCGCTGTCTTACTACCTGGCTGATTGCTCAACTTTGTGCATGACCCGTCATCGTCCGCCACCATGACCGTCCCCAACATTGGGGACATCTTGGTGCTGTCGCAGAAGGCTTGGAAGATCGGACGCACTTTTTCTGCTTGTCAAAAGAATGCACCAATGGAGCTTCAATATATTGAGACGGAAATCGGCAGCCTCGCAAAATCACTGACATCGTTGGCAGAGACGCTGCACGCGGAGTCCGTGCGGCAGTTGTTACAGGACGCTGACCAGGAAATAAAAGACGGCGTTGGCACCATCCTAAGGTCTTGTCAACTGACAGTAGATGATCTTGACTCGCTGATCGACCAATACCAAGTCATCAAGAAGCACCGCACAGTTGGAGGGTTCGCAATCGAGCGCTCGTGGAGCGATCTGGTATTAGCCTCATACAGGACGATGATCTGGACTCCCGATGGTGGAAACCTCGCAGATCTGAAAGAGATGTTACAGACACATACGAACTCTATCGATGAGTTGACGGAAGCATTGCAAAGGCTAGTGCTGTCAAATCCATGTCACACATCTACTGACCATGGTGCAGCAAGTCTATGGCTCGTATGGACAGCACCGTCATACCAATGGCAGAGCGAATCGATAACATGAACCACTTGGCTGGAAGCATCGATCAGCAGCTTGACGAAGTACATCGTATGGTAGAGGACCTAATGATTACACCACAAACTTCACATGTGCCACCCGTACCAGCAAAGAACCCTGCGCGTTCACCGACCACCGAAAACTCCGACCCATTGAGCCAAACGTATCATGCTTTATCTCCCCCAGAATCTCCACTCAGGTCACAAAATGTCAAAATATCTCTACCACGGATCCCGCAGCGCCCAGAGTCCCACGAACAGTCCTCTGTAGTCAGATTCAACGACGATGCTCCTGTTCCGACATCTCCGGCGGATGTCGTATCCGCCTCAAGAACATCATCACCCGCTCAAAAACGTGTGTCGGAATTTAGCTTTGGTGGCTCATCTCTGCGATACTCCAGCAGTAGTTATGCATCGTCTGACGCTGGTACAAGCTCAGTCGGTTGGCAAAGTCCATCTTCGTTACTACCTGACTCTGGACTGAGCGGACAGTTTTTGACATCGACCAAGAAAACATCACCTCTACCAAGGACACCGGAAGTATGCAAGCCGGGCCGAAAGGCTGACAATCGGCATCACACGCTACTTCCACCTCCGGCTATGAAGCTCGGCTCACTCTATGAACTCGAAAGAACACCTACTCAGACATCGCATGCCATGTTAAGCCCTTACCCTTCGTTGCAACCAGAGATTACGAAACTTCACCGAAGTTCAACCACTACCAGTCAAAAAGCCGCCTTCGAGAAAGAAGCCTTTCGCAACTCCGCCATTCTATGTGATGTGTAAGCCGACTTTGCTCTTAGTCCGTTCTTCTCAGTTTACGTGTTTAGCAATGCTGACCACAGATAGTCGCGGTTCGCTCGTCGAATACTCGCACCGGATAAACCAGGACGACCCCAGAGACGTCGAAATGGTCCAGGCTTCTGAAGAGTGCAGAATTGCCGTAGTACGGAAACGCGTAACCGACCCTGAGACGAAGGCAGTGCGCGTCGTGACATCCGTATGGGCGTTTAGCGACGACAACACCACCCGCGTGGAGCTACGTATGGAAGACGACCAGATGTACATACCGTACTCCAGCTACTTCAACCCAGCCAAAGCCTCCATCACAGTTCTCTGCGAGCTCATATTTCACGACGTCAAGCACGGCAATCGGCCAGTGCGTGTAGAAAAGACTAGCTGGGTCAACTACGTCTTCGACTCACCACAAGGTAGACTACTAGAATAGCACCTAAGAAAGAAGACGATGACTGACTGCATACTCAGCGGCTGCACTCTTCCAAAACGAACTAATGGGCCGCACTCTGCTCGCGACATTTCGCACAGAAAAGACAATGCGCATCCACGAAGGCCTCTCCAAGTCCTTCTCCTACGCCGAGCAAATGTGCGGCCTGGAAAACCTCCGCGTCTGGGAAGACAACGACACAAGCGCCATCATCGCTCTGATCCATTTCTCCGCCGACTTCCGAAACGGCTACCTAGCCTTCTACCTAAACTCCTCCGTCAACCCCATCAAAGTGAAAGACGGCGGGGACAGAGAGGTCAAGATCAAAGGGCTGAGAGTGCCGATTGATCGGGGCGATCGCGCGATGAGGAAGGATAGTTTTGCGGAAGCTGCCACTGCTTCTGTTGCAGGAAAAGGTAAAGAGAAAGTGGGGGTTGGGAAGAGTGTGGACAAGGGGAAGGTCATCAGCGGGGCGAAGATTGAGTTTGCGACGGAGATGGAGAAGAGTGAGTTTTTGGAGATGTGTAGCGAGATGCAGAGGGAGTTGATTGAGTTGCCGGATTTGTTGGGGGTTAATTGATGAGGTGGGTGGCGTCGAAATTTCTCGCTGTACTAAGTTCTTGAATGAATGGCTAAAGCGTGCGCCCTTTCGAATCCGTGTCCTTGGGCTTGCTCATCCGATTCCCGAACACCTAGACAGAGCACAGCCTATATAGACATCGGACTTCTTCTACACCACCTCCCCACCTAGTCATCTGTACATCCCTTCAAAGTTCCCATTCTCCTTCCCTCCAAAACTTGTCGTAGACTTCTCCATAGTCTTCGTCCAGGTTGGAGGAACCAAACACAAGCGCTGCTTCCTCAGGAACGTTCTTCCTCTTTCCAGACCACCGCTGAGCGTCAATAACCCGACGACGCCCCCACTCTCTACCCAGGATATACCGGCAGATAGCTTGCCAATGTGCCCTTGGTACATTTGCGAGTGTGGAGATTCTGACATAGTTACCCCCCGTCTGTTTGGATGTCCGGGGCCCTATCATTTTATAGAATTCCTCTACTGCAAGCCTCTTATCTCTCTCGGTATCGCCACCCGCAGTCAACGCAACATGAAGCGCATGCGACCTGTTATCCAGCACCAAGGTCGTTCGGCGGCGAGTTCGAAACACGAGTCCGGATTTGCAGATGAAGTTGACGAGGTGACGGACTGATTCTCCCAGCGTACCTCCCTCCATTATGTATCTGTGACTGGTGAGGAAGTCATATGCGTCGTATGTGTATCTCGGGAGAGAAGCGTCGAAATCATCGTAGTCCTCTGTCCGGAGGGTGGAAAACCAGTCGAACATCGCTCTGATAGGCCCTTTCTCGTCTCCGATTATTCGCAGACTTGAAGCGTCGGTTTCGATCCGCGGTGTGACGCCAGTGATAAAGGGAGCTATCTCCATGGCGTTTTGGCCCGGTAGAAGCTGTTGTGTTGTCTTGAGGATAATATCTGTGGCTTCGTTGTTGATGGTCTTGCATGTAGCGAGGATGGCTGTGGGCGCTGTGTACGTGATAAGAGTGAAGCTGTTCGTGGTCATTCTGTCTTCGCTGAAGTTGACGTATCGGACACGAATGGTGTGGTTTGGCATGAGGCTGTATACCATGAGTCGTAATTCGACAGGCAAGTCGAGGAATCGGAATGGCCGTAGCATTGTTTTCGTCAGGACTATAACTGCCAGCGCCTGACGAATGTGGAATGATTTGTTAGATACGCTGCAATTTTATTAGACCGCGATTGTGGTGGGTTGACGAGAGTACGAATTGGAAAGTGATGCGCGGTATGACAGGGAGTATTTCAGGCAAGGTCAAAGCGCAAAAGCCATAAGTCGTTCTCGCACAGCTATACGTAGTAGCCAGTAGATAGAGGACTATGACGAAGAGTCATTAGGAAAACACAGATCAGCTCCGTGAGCCCGCGCCTTGGCGGTTTTGTCTTCACCTTCACTTTATCTCCCACTCCACCCACACCTACACAACCCACGCAAAAAGAGACTAGAACAACACCACCTCAGCGCTCTATCCCAGCCTCGAACCAATACCAACACCCGACCTCCAAAAGAAACATACATGCAACAGTAGACCTCCAAGTGACCCCGAAGGTTGTGTTCATCCAAAGGTATACCATGTGTCGCCTTTACCGATGCATCTTCTACTAGAATGCCATGGTACTCTTCTTCTTCTTAAGCTTATGCGGTAAGCCTTGTGACTTTTCCTTGGGCTGAGTGGAACTGGCCATCTGTTGCTGATCAAACTGACGGCATTGAACTGCTGTCAGTCCCTCAGCGCACTGGTGGTACCACGAACACCTCCTTCCCCAATTGTATTCGCGCAGGTGTTCCAGGGCAGCTTTGTCGTTCGCTTTCATGTGGTCGCTCAGTACACTGTACTGGTAGTTACACTGACAACGGTAGCAGCAGAAAGTCGGTTCTAGCGTCTTGCTGATTGCCAGGCCGCGGCAGCTGACTTGAGCGACGTGAGCTTTGTGGGTGTCATCTTTAGTCAGTTCACCCAAGACCTGTTTTCGAACAGATACGATTTCTGCTCCAGGATGGTCGTTTAGCAGCTCTGTCTCGCGGTCAAATTGGGCGTCGTTGGCTGCTTTCACTTTTGCAACCCAATCTTTTCCGAGCCCTTGCTCCCTGATGGATTTGTACACGTCATGTGCCCAGGGCCACTTCATTGTTTTGTTGGAACCGATTAGCGGCGTGGTGCCTCCGACTATCCATTTTGTGGTCGGCTTCAGTCCCGCCTTCGGTGCGTATGCGTGTTGGCATATGAAAAACATGGCGGGTTCAGCGGCGCTGGGAGCGTCAAGCTTTTGAGAGAAATCGTTGATCCAGAGACGGGTGTCTCCAAACCGGCCTAGGTGTATGTCGAGAGCTTTCTTTACGTCCGCCTCTGACTTCCAGGCTGCCATTCGCTTTTCGGTCTGTGTATTTGGGGGGCTCCTGAAGATGACTGGAAGGGCAAGCTCTATGAGCAGCTCCTGGTTGGATCGCGTCGGGATAGCTTTCTGCTGTCTCATGTCCTCCATAGTATCTAAAGCCCAGTCTGCAGGGGCGCTCTCCTCGCTCTCCTCGCTCTTCTCGCTCTTCTTGATCTTCTCGATCTTCTCGATGAATCGATGGTGGCGGCTGACCTCCATATAGGCGGCATCGTAGATCCGAAGCGTAGATCTGATTGCGTCACGCCAGGTGAATGCTTGTTCGTCTCCAGTGGCTTTGAAGTAGTCGACATACTCACCCCGGTTTTCCATGATGGCCTTTTGCCGATCTAGACTGTACTCCTCGCTCTTGAAGAACGACTCTTCCGCATCCTTGTTCTTCTGCTCTTTATCTTCGGCTGACGGTGAAGGATCCGCGCGAGAGTGGGGTGCGGTGGGGGATGCGATGGGGGATTCGACTCCTCTGACCTTTCGAGGCAGCATCCAGTTCTCATCTTGGAACTCCTGTACCGAAATTAGCTTTTGACTGCGCTCAGGTGCTACATAATAGCGATTCAGAACTTATTGGCAACATACCTCTTCAAGAACCTCAGACCATTTCTCTTGGATATTCTCACGGATCGCCATCAGTGGCTCGTGACAAATCATTTCCAACTGCAGGAGGTTCGACTCCAAGAACTGTAGCGCAGCCGGAGTCTGCTTCTTCGGCCAGAATTGTGGCTTCATCTGTGATGCGGTCCACCGAATCTGATCGGCTATGGCAGCGATCGCTCGGATGGTCTTCATGTGGCGGACGATCGTTGTTTCCTTTGAAGAATTGATATCTATTTCAAAGTTCGGCCAGTTCTTTTCGGCGTATGCTCTTGGTTCTGGGTATGGCGATGCGCGAGGTAGATTCTTCTTTAGCCGGTCAGGTGTCCATGGCTTAGCTGAAGACATCTTGGAAGTTCAAGCACCGACAGATGTACGAGAATGGTGTTGAAGCTGAGGAAGATTGGTCGGTGCGAAAATTTTCAGGTGTTTGCTCAAATTCACTGTTTACGCGTGCGTTGAGTAAATAGTCCTGATTGGCTCTAGCGAGAGCACGCCGGGGTGACGTACGTAGGTGCAAACGCGACTCGGAGGACCTTTAGCTTGGGTTCTCCGCCTCCAGTGTGCGTGATCAGCACGTCAATAAGCCATAAGGATCATTCGGTAACGAAGAAGAGGAGTAGGTTTGAACAAACGTTGCACTGCTCGATGATTCTCGGATACCCCATATGTTCCAGAAAAGATGCAAGACAACAGTGCGGAGGTTTGAACGAACGCTGCACTGCTCGATGATTCTCGAATACCCCTTACCTTCCCGCAAAGCCGCAAGACAACAGCGCGGAGGTCTTCACCAAGATCCTGCCTATCAAGCCGTCTCCGAATCTGTCTACGTATCCCCCAAACGTACCCACGTTCCTCCGTATCTTGCATGATTTCCCGCATCGAAGTAGGCTACACGAAGGACATTGTCATACGGAGGTTTTGGCAGCGAATTGTAGAAGTAACCGTCCAGCAGCTCCTACTGCTGCATACCGTGAAACAAGGGTGTTTAGGAAATAACACCTGCATTACAATCATATACTGTGTTACTCAACTGCGTTGTGCCCTGCATTTCGGCACCAGCACGTTCAACAAAGGATCCCTCAGCAGCTCTACTGCTGCATACTGTGAAACAAGGGTGTTTAGGAAATAACACCTGGCATTGCAATCATGTACTGTGTCACTCAACCGCGTTGTGCTTGCATTCCAGCACCAGCACGTTCACCAAAGCAAATCCGTCAGCAGCTCAATCACTGTGTGCCTGAAAGTATTGAAGTCGGTCCTCTCAATCACCTCAGCTCATCAACACCGCACACACAAAGCCACACATAACACACGCATCAAATAGAGTTAAAAAAGATATATCATTCGCGCAAAAGAACCCCAGCATTAAATACCCAACATCATCATGCGTCATACGCGCCCACTGAATCCTCCCCACGAAAAGTAAGTAAGTAGTAATTCCGAAGCAACACCCCCCCGCTTTCCATCCCTCCCAGAAGTTCCAGCAACTAGACCAGAAGACAGAAAGAAGAAGAAGACACAGCTTTGCTTCCTAACAACTTTACAAACATCGGGAGTACCCCATCATCATCATCATCATCTGCGGCGCTTACTTCCCTCGCGTTGTCGTCTTTCTCGTGCGCGCGCGTGTCGTTTCATGTGTCTAATACCAAATTTTCGCTCGCTGTGCTGACAAAAGATGCTAAAGTTCATGCTTCAATTCCCTCTTCAATCGTACCGTGGCCGTTCATTCCGTTGCCGTTCATGCCCATGCCGCCGGTGAGAGCCTGCATGGCGTCGCCGTTGCTCTGGCCGTTGGGCATGTCGTCGTCGAACTCGAGCTTCTCTTGCTGCGCAATGGCTTGTTGAGAGACGATCTCGGCGAGGCGCTTGAGGCGGGGGGTTTGCAGCCCTGTCGATCGTATTAGACGTGTTCCGATGGTGCGGTAGATGGTTGAAAGAAAATACTTACAGGAAGGCGTGTATGTCTCGAGTGCTGTTATCACTCTTGGCTCCGCGATTTCGTACGGGCCACTGTCCTCCATGTCGACTGCGGTGAGGAGAAGAACGTCGCTCTTCTCCGTCACACGCGACGCGACGGCCTTCATGATCTCGCCGTTGATGGGCTGCTCGTAGTCGGCTACCAGGTACTGGTTCAGCAGCTTTTGGATCTGGTTCGGACTCAGCATCCAGCAGATGTCCTGAATAATCTCAATGTCGTTCAAAGTAGCCTTCTTCAGCTGGAGCAACTTGGTTGCTTGCATCAGATGCTCGAGTTGCAGTGTGCCCTCTGGCATGTCATGCGACTTGCACCACTCTTCGATACGGGTGATGTTGTAGTTGATCTGCAGACCTCGCTTCCATGAAAGGAAGTTGCGGCGCATGAGCAAGTCGTTGAAGGCAGTGACACCCACTAACCTCAGCAACTCGGTAACACACTGTGTGATGATGGAGTCTTCCAAGTAGTAAGCCTTCATGGCCTTGTAGACGCTGTTGAGTAGGGTGAGTAGGTTGTCCATGCTGTAGGCAGGGGTGTTGCTGCCCTGGAGGAGCTTTCCAAGGAAACGGTTGCTCTCGTTGGTAACGAAGCCGGGCAGTGATTGCGACTCGATGATAGCAGGGATGATCATCTTGTGCAGCTTCTTCTTGAGCACCTTCATCCAGGTGTGGTAGATGTTGAACTCGAGACTCTCAAGATCGTGCTTGACAATCTCCAGCAGTCTGTCGTACTCGTAGTTGTCGGTCTTCTGTTGCTCGTACCAGTCTTCAGCCAGGAAGACGAACGAGAGCATCTCGTGGACGTTCGACAACCAGAAGGCACCTGGGTTGATCGCGTCTTCGGCATCGTGCTGCATGACCTCTTGTTGGATCGACTGCATAACGTTTGCGAGGAAGCGCTCTGATTCCTTGACGAAACCGTTGTTCCACATCTCGGAGGTGACAAGGTTGATGAGGTAAGCTGGGAAGAGAACCTCCTTATCGGTAGGTGGGGGTGTTGTGGTGGGCGATGGGATCTTCAGGTTCTTGATCAGGCCAAGAGTGACCTCATCGTTCAGCATGTCCTCCTCAGCAAGGATGTTCTCAAGCTCAAGCTCGACGTTATCGAGCTGAGCAAACGTTGAGCCGGAGAGGTTT